TACTCACGCATCAGAAAAATAAACTTAAACATAATAACAGAAAAATAGTGAAGACAAAGATTTAAGTGGTTCAGAAAAATTTCTTACGTCTACGGAAGAGGGAGAAAAATTTACTAAGACTTTTAAAATTACACACTCATACAACTTTCTCACTTTCTCTCTTCCTAAAATCCCTTACATCTTTGCTTATCTCTCTCCTCACTTTTCTATGTTCCTTTAAAAGAAGAGACACTCTTTCTCTACACTATTCTATGAGCACACTTTTCTTTGAGCACGTAAAGTCTTACACAAAGTACTTATTTATGAAATCCTAATAAGCCATAAAATAACATTTGTCCAAAAATTAAAAACAGTAACTTACTCAAAAACACAAAATAATAACTTTCTAAAAACTAATTTGAGTCACTTACATAACATTATATATATATATATATATATTAAAATCATTTTAAGTATTATAGGTATTTATATAGTTTTATTCCATGTATTTTTTTTTGCAATTTTACCTTGCATTTTAAAGTTTCACCTTTTTATAACATCAAATTAAATTTAATAGACAAATTCATATAGTTTCATAGTCAATCTTGAATTTTGACCTAAAAAGGCCAAAGTACACCTCCAAAGAAGAGATAAAAAAACGAAGAAAATCTAAAATTGCGCAATCAAAAGAAAAATTGTATTGTTATATACATTTCTCTTGTTTCATCTTAGTTTTAAAATTTTTAGTTTTCTTGTTCCTTTTCAATGGTATAAATTTATGTATTAATTATAATCTGATGTCGACATATGGTATAAAAATTCAAGACTTCAAAAAGTGGGAGATACTTTATTTTATTAAAAGTAAAAATGCATGGTATAAAATGATAAAAATCTCTATTATTATGGTAGGTAGAACTGATCACCTTTTTTTATGTGTATTTTGCCTGACCATTTTAGTTTTATGTTGAATATTCAGAAATAGGAAGATTGAGAACAAGGACATAGTGTTGTGGTACACCATTGGCTTTCACCATGTGCCTTGCCAGGAAGAATTTCCGGGGATGCCAACTCTGAGCGGCGGCTTTGTACTCCGACCGGTGAAATTCTTTGAGAGGAATCCAGTGATCAAATTAATACCTGCCAAGAATGTGAACTTTCCTACTAATTGCACCGCCGCCTATCACTAATTGCGTTTCACCTATTGTCTCTGATCTGCAAGAAATTTATTAGCTTAAACCCGACAAAATAGTAATTAATACATATATTTAGCAATTAGCAGTGTACTACGCTGATAAATAGTTACAAAATGTCATGTAAGATCAAGATCACTTGTTGCAGCGGTTCGCTGAATGAATTTTGTTTTTTGGTTTTTTGTTTTTGTTTTTATTTATTTATTTATTTATTTTTGGTCCTTCGGACTACGCTTGTGGAACTAGGTCTTGATCACCAAATCTTCTTATGCTTTCTTTTCTAATTTTCATCAGCAATAACAGAATAAACATCATCTTCGCTATCATTCATATCCCCAACAAAATTTACGGAATTTGAAGTCTCTTGGGTTTCTTGTTTTCTATTTTCTTCTAGATGCTTCGTCATTTCTTTACAATTTCTCCTAATATACCCTTTCTTATCATAATAATAGCACTCAATATCCTTTCTTAGTTGAGATTAGGAACGATCATCTCTTTTATCATAGCATCTCCCTTGTGACTTGCTTCTACCCCTATTCGAATCTGACTGTGCCACTAAAATTTGTTCAGTATGAGACATATTACTTGGCTTTTTTTAATTTTGTAGTCTCTAACAAAGTAGTCGACACTTCATCCGCAGTCAACGTCATCTTTCCAACTAATAGTGTAGTCACCAAAGTCTCATATGATTTGGGTAAGGATGCCAACAAAATTAACGATTTATCTTTCTCATCAGTTTTGACCTCTACACTTAACAATTAAGTTATGCACTTATTAAAATTATTTATATGATTCCTAATATCAGTTCTTCATCCATTTTCAACTCATACAATTGCTTCTTCAAATATAATCTATTTGTTAAGGATTTCGACATATAAACCTTTTCTAATTTTTTCAATAACTCAGAAACAGATGTTTCATTCATAATACTATATTTCAATTTAGGAACCAAACTTAAACAAATTGTGCTTACCGTTCTTGTTTTCAATTCTTTCATATCTTCATCTTTCATATTTTATGGTTTCTTTTTTTGCAGCGCTTTCAATAATCCCTGCTGAATTAGAACATCTTTTACTGTACTCTGTCATATGCTGAAATTACTCTTCCCATCAAAACGCTCAATCTGCTTAAACTTTTTCCCATACATCATCTTCATTTTTTTTAATCTTCACCACAGCTTTGATACTAGTTGTTGGAAAAAAAACACACCCCTATACTCACGCATCAGAAAAATAAACTTAAACATAATAACAGAAAAATAGTGAAGACAAAGATTTAAGTTGTTCGAAAAAATTTCTTACGTCTACGGAAGATGAAGAAAAATTTACTAAGACTTTTAAAATTACACACTCATACAACCTTCTCACTTTCTCTCTTCCCAAAATCCCTTACATCTTTGCTTATCTCTCTCCTCACTTTTCTATGTTCCTTTAAAAGAAGAGACGCTCTTTCTCTACACTATTCTATGAGCACACTTTTCTTTGAGCATGTAAAACCTTACACAAAGTACTTATTTATGAAATTCTAATAAGCCATAAAATAACATTTGTCCAAAAATTAAAAACAGTAACTTACCCAAAAACACAAAATAATAACTTTCTAAAAACTAATTTGAGTCACTTACATAACATAATATATATATATATATTAAAATCATTTTAAGTATTATAGGTATTTATATAGTTTTATTCCATGTATTTTTTTTTTTCAATTTTACCTTGCATTTTAAAGTTTTACCTTTTTATAACATCAAATTACATTTAATAGACAAATTCATATAGTTTCACAGTCAATCTTGAATTTTGACCTAAAAAGGCCAAAGTACACCTCCAAAGAAGAGATAAAAAAAACGAAGAAAATCTAAAGTTACGCAATCAAAAGAAAAATTTTATTGTTATATACATTTTTCTTGTTTCATCTTAGTTTTAAAATTTTTAGTTTTCTTGTTCCTTTTCAATGGTATAAATTTATGTATTAATTGTAATCTGATGTCGACATATGGTATAAAAATTCAAGACTTCAAAAAGTGGGAGATACTTTTTTTTTTTATTAAAAGCAAAAATGCATGGTATAAAATGATAAAAATCTCTATTATTATGGTAGGGAGAACTGATCACCTTTTTTTATGTGTATTTTGCCTGACCATTTTAGTTTTATGTTGAATATTCAGAAATAGGAAGATTGAGAACAAGGACATAGTGTTGTGGTACACCATTGGCTTTCACCATGTGCCTTGCCAGGAAGAATTTCCGGGGATGCCAACTCTGAGCGGCGGCTTTGAACTCCGACCGATGAAATTCTTTGAGAGGAATCCAGTGCTCAAAGTAATACCTGCCAAGAATGTGAACTTTCCTACGAATTGCACCGCCGCCCATCACTAATTGCGTTTCACCTATTGTCTCTGATATGCAAGAAATTTATGAGCTTAAACCCGACATAATAGTAATTAAGACATATATTTAGCAATTAGCAGTGTACTATGCTGATAATTAGTTACAAAATGTCATGTAAGATCAAGATAACTTGTTGCAGCGGTTGGCTGAAAGAATTTTGTTTTTTGGTTTTTTGTTTTTTGTTTTTATTTATTTATTTATTTATTTTTGGTCCTTCGGACTACGCTTGTGGAACTAGGTCTTGATCACCAAATCTTCTTAGGCTTTCTTTTCTAATTTTCTATTGAATAACCTTTGTTTGGTTAATTTGAAAGTTTAGTGTTTCTTTTCTCTTGCAATTACGACTCAGATTTTCTTCCTTTTCTTTTGGCGTTAGAAAGATGGGCAAGATTTTATTGGAGCTATTGCCCTATTGATTTCTCATAGTTTTGAAGAAACAGCAATCACAACTACTGTGACATATACAAAAATATTAATGACCAAACGAGATGGAAGAATTAAATAGCGAAAATTGCAAGAGAGACACGAGAATTTAACGTGTAAATGCCTGGTTATATTCATTAGTGTGTTAATTTGATTGTCCCGTGTTAACTATGTGATTATAATATCTACATAATTTTTTATCCTAAACTATACTCTAGGTTTTGAATATTGAAAGTACTCACATTTCAAAATTAAAATGTCAAATAATACCAAAGTCAAATATACTTCTAGAAGAACATTAATAGTGTTAAGAACCATTCCGCACAATTATTTGTTTTACTTCTAGAAGAACATTAATTAGTCAAATATCTCAGAACCAACGTTGTGTAAATTAAATGTAGTTGTAGAACGAAATAGCTGGTTTCATGATCTCTATCTATATATATGACCGTTCAGAGCAAGGAAACAAAAAAAAAATATATATATATATATATATAATATATGTATGTGTAAATTCATTTCAAAAGCTTAAGCTGTTAGGAGGTGGATCAACAATGGCTTTTATACTTTAACACTTCCCCTCACGTGTGGGTTGGACAATGGGCAATCGTGTGTGTAAATTAATTAGAAAGCCCAACACGCGAATATTTAAGCCCGATATATATTAAAGACCCAACACATGATAATTTTAAATGGAGGTAAATAGTACAATTACAGGGGTTTGAACTCAGGACCTCCCACTTTAATACCATGTTAGTTTATCAATCCATCCTAAAAACTTAAGCTGTTAGTAGGTGGACCAACAATATACTGTATATATATATTGTATATATATAACCCGTCAATATTGCATAATAGAGACGTGTCAAATTGATAATTTGTCATATTTCCTACTTACTTGGTCATATTTCCTACTTACTTGGTCATATTTTTGACAATCACAAATGGATAATATTGTGGAGAGATTTAAAAGCATTCTTGACTAAATATATTACTAATTTACAAAGGGGAGAAAACGACATTTAGTTGAAAGAATTTAAATATTGACTTTTACATTATATAATACATTAACAAAGTTTTAAATCAGTTTTGACTGAGCAAAGGATTGCTCTCGAAGAAATTCGCTGGCCGGAGCTCAAATCCCCCATGAATGGTGGGCATTGCTGGGAAATCTTCTTGGTAAGGAATGTGGTGGAATCCCACTGTGTACCATAAAACGATATCTTTGTTTTCAATTGCCCTATTCCTGCACATGCAAATGCAATAGTTACGTCGTTTTTCTTGTTTTCTTTTTCCATAATTATTACACCTTTGCTTGTAACATCACAATAAGTATATTAGTCCGGTCTAACGCAACAACTCATCAAAAATAATAATAATAATAATGATTGTGGCAGTAAATATAAAATAGTAGACCGATGTATATATTACATATCAGAGTATACAAATATAAGCAAAAATGTAGACGGATCTAATACTTTATAATATAATTGAGTAATGTTAAAGTATAAAATTATTGTTGGCCCACCTCCTAACAGCTTAAACTTTTGAGATGGATTGGTAAACTAACATAGTATCAAAGCGGGAGATCCTGAGTTTAAACCTCCGTAATTGCACTATTTATCCTCATTTAAATTGTAATAATGTGTTGAGTTTTTAATATATTTCAAATTTAAATATTCACGTGTTGGGCTTTCTAATTCATTTACCCAGACGATTGTCTATTGTCCAACCCACACGTGAGGGAGAGTGTTAAAATATAAAATTATTGTTAGCCAACATCCTAACAGCTTAAGCTTTTGGGATGGATTGGTAAACTAACAAGTAATGATACAGATTATGGGAAAAAAGAAACGAAATCATCTTTTGTGAACTTTATTTAACTAAAATTAAAATTTTCTTTTAGATTTTTTCCCCTAACAAATTATATTTTAAATCCAGGAATCAATTGGGGGAATTTTTTTTTTTTCATATGTATAGGATGCGTGTAATTCTTCACCTAGCTACATTATACCGTGTATAGTTCAAATCACCTCATTTTAAAATTTTAAAAAAAAATAATAATAATAATAAGAAAAAAAGAAATCACATTTACCTTTGACTCCAAACAGCTAAGCCATCATCCCCTCGGCTCCTATCACTGTAGAAGCCGCCAGCCCACCTCTCCGACTTGTTATAGGCGGTCACCCACACTTGATGCTTTGTATAAGCAGCTCTAATCTGCGGGTAATCATCATCAGCCAAAAGGGAATTAACCGGCTGCCCAGTAATCAATCGGTAACCCACTTGATTACCGAGCCTCGTCCTCTTGTTCGGATTCACAACTAACAGCTCGGCTGGCTCCAAGCCAAGCCGAATCCTGGCGTCGGCTTCAGTTTTGGCGGTTTCTTTAACAACCCTCCAGTAACTCCTCCTTGGAGACAAGGGGTTAGCAGTCGTCGCTCTTGTCGTTTGTAGTTTAGATTTGAGAAAGGAGTTGTCGCTTCCGTCAACATCGAGATCTAGATAGTATGTGAGATAGTGGTCGTGGTTAACGGCGACGGTGTTCTCTGACACTAATGTTCCGTACACATTTCCAATTATGTTGTCGTTTTTTGTGTACGGTGTGGCCTTCATTTCTAGAATACCTGTCAAGTCAACCTGCCATACAAAATTCCATAACCTTATATTCACAAAGCTTTATACTCAAATGGCAAATTGTCCAAAAATAAAAACAAATTGTCCTTAGAGAAATCCAAGCAAAAGAATCCAAGATGTTTCTAAACGAGTGAACAGTTATTCAGCAAAAAAAACAAAAACAAGTAAACAGTTTCTTGTTTGGTAGAATTTTCTAAACTGTTTGTAATGCTAGTCAAATAGTATGTATACGGTATACCATTTTCACGTACACATGTTTGCGCTTTTTTTTTTTTTTTTTTTTAGAAGAGTTCTATAATCAGTTGGAAACAAATATTTCACGTCAAAAACATAATCTTAAACTTCTGATCACATGAAAATTATATGAGTTAACAAGAGTAACTTGATAAAAATCTCACAGTTTAAACTTGTATTATAATAATAAAATATTTGTTTGAACTCAAAGGCATATTTTGAATTGAGATATAACTTTATATGAAAATTTTTTATTATAATAAAAAAGTTAAATGTGATTGTTTCTGATAATTTTTTACTGTAATAAAGTTTAAATTCTAAACTCAAATCAGTAAACTATGAACTCTCATAAAAGATAGGTCCCACCTTAGGAGATCTATCCACGCGAATCCTACATTTTCTAGAGTGGGATTCAATCTTAGAATGCAATTTTTTGTACGTTAATTTGAGTCAAATTCTATTTTGGAATCTCACATTTAGATTATTCAATAAAAGAAAAGAGGATTAAAGAATCTTTCTCACCCCAACTTTGATAGTGCCACTTTGCTTGAATTCCCAATCAAGAACATAATCGTAGTTCCCCACCGTAGCCACCATTCTGACCACCAAACTTGACTCCGGCTGCCCACCTCTCACCTGTTAATCAAACAATCCGAATTCCACCCATTTTTCAAAAGAAGAAAAAAAAACAAAACAAGACAGAAGATGAGAAAGAAAAAAATAAAGAAAGCAATCTCCGAAATCCTATTTAAAAAAAGGGCGATAATCCTTATAAAAATAGACTACTGATAATTTTTTATTTTTTAATTATTAGATCTATATCAAAATTTATTTATTTTGTATATTTTTTTATTTTAAATTTAGTCAAAAACTGAAAATTTCGGACTGCAACAGAAACTCTAAAAAAACATAAAAATAAAAATAAAAAATAAGCTAAAAACAAAAACTTTTGACTCACCACTTTCCCTGGTATGTTAATCTCAGTATGTCTCATTGCAATATCACCCGAATACCTTTCAAAGATACAAATAGCTCTTTCTACTTTTTGTGGCTGCCCACCTGAACCAGCCATAAACCCATCCAAAAACTCCGCATTTTCCGGGCAATCAACCAGCGGCTGAAGCGAATCTGCTGATCTTCCGAACCCAAATTCCCCAATGTCCATGAAAGTCCTGAAATACCATTCCTTTGTCGTGTCCATGTACGGCACAAACGTCTCCGAAACGTGCCCTCTGTACATCACTCGCCTGAATTTCCCCTTCCTGGCGTCGAACACCGACGCCGTGGATATAATTACGCCGGCTCGAGCGTTGAACGCGACGTGAAATTCCCAGTTCCTCCATTTAACCGTGTGGCCATTGATTGCCCACCCAGTGTTCGATGAATTTCCTGAGAGAGAACTTGACTTCCCTTTTGCGGTTTGGAAATCTGTGCCCTCTGCTTTAGGCAGAGGGGCGATGAATCTGTCTTTGTATGTTATGATCTTCATGTCGTCGACGTCGACCTCCATGGTTATTCCCTCGATGGGCCTTGAAAAGACATTGAAGGTTCCTCCGCGGTATAAGCATGTGACTTTTAGAGCTCTTCTTGTGACGTGTTCTCCAAACCATCCGACGGTAAATGGCACGCAAGAAACTTCGGAAATGTTTAAACCACGGAGCGTAATGGACTCTTTGAATTTCGTATAACTCAGTGGCAGTTTGCTAGCTCGGGAGAGCTCGGCATAGGTGAATGGAGGAAAACCGTGACCGGTGTAGATATGGTCCGATTTTATAGAGCTTGAGGCTAAGTCCACAACGAGCTCATGTGTCTGGCCTCCAGCTCTAACCACCACCTTGGCTTGGCGATGAGGAAAGGGGTTTTGTTTATGGTTTGAGGATAGCCATTTGAGGACATCTTCCTTTTCGGGTTCTTCAACGTCGACATAGTGAAAAGTTAGATTAGGAAGAGAACCGAGGCGAGACTTTTGAATTATGTCTCGTGTTCGGTTAAACTCAGTAGGGGTAAGAGGGTCTAGAGGGTGGTTTGTGCTAGAAGTGATGAAGCAACATTGCAAGACCAAAACTAGAGCTACAAATAGACTTTTCATGGACATGTTGCTCTTATGGTCACCTTGAAAAGAATATGTTGTAGGAAGCTATGGTATACAAAGAGACAACTAACTGTTTCTTTCACATATATTATATATGGTGTGGAAGAGTTCAACTTAAATAAGTTGTTGAATCTCCTCTGTCAAGATAGACCCACATTTCGTAAATGGATAGTATAAAGGGCTGCCTGCCTTGGCTTTTACGGTGCAGTGCACATTTCCCAGGCTTTATTTGCAAAACTTGGAATTTTATAGTCCTTTTCTTGCATTGAGAGCAAAGTGTAGCTAATTTTCTTTGCTTTGACATTGGAGTGGAGGGTATTATTAACTTCCTCTTCTTTACAACTATTCCTTGATTGTAAATTACCCGCGTGATGAAGTCAGCAACCAAAATGATTGGAAATAATCAGCACCCATAACAATCCCTTAAAAAAATTCACCGGTGGAATATTCTATTTTTATTGTTGGATTAAGTTTTCGACAGTCAGATTTACGCAGGTACATTAAAAATTTACAACGCGCCGCAAAGAATTACTATCTCTGCAGATTTGACTATTAAAAAAGTAATCTAACTAAAAAAAATAAGGTATTCCACCGATAAATTTTTTTTAAGAGGTCTGATCGTAAATAAAGCCTTATAATAATTAGCCTAAAACTAAAATAAAAAGGAAAAAAGTCAAAGAGAAAAATTGTATTCAAACATGTCAGCTAGGCCCTCAAGCTTTATTGCTACAGAAGAGAAAAATAAAGGTTTCAAGAGATTCTTGAGTAATAAGCTGGGAAAAAAGAAAGGTTGTTTTTTTAATGCTTTCCAAGAGAATTCAATTACCCATGTGGAGGAAAAAGTAAAACATCATGGGAGCGTTTGGTATGCAGTAATTTTAAGGATGAGAATGAAAATCTGTAATATTACCATGTTTGGTACAAGAATTATAATATTTAGATTCCCAGGAAAGTGATTACCATAGGATTCACTTTTCTTTATTTTAAGATAATTTGAATACCACTCAACATGGTGTTATTTAAATTCCCAAGAATCTCAAAATCATGGAAATCTTATTATAATAATAATAATTATTGTTATTATATTTAATATTAATATTATTATTATTATTATTATTATTATTATTATTATTATTATTATTATTATTATTATTATTATTATTATTATTATTATTATTATTATTATTATTATTATTATTATTATTATTATTATTATTATTATTATTATTATTATTATTATTATTATTATTATTATTATTATTATTTTATTATTATTTTATTATTTTTATTAATAATAATAATATTTTTTTATTAATATTATTATTATGGATCTTCTTTCATGCGAACAACTAAACACAGTAATGTAATATTCTTGGAAATTTGAAAAAGATTCATGTATAGAACCAAACACAGTAATGTATTATTCTTATGAATCATATTACTCTCCATCACTTTCTTGAGAATATGATTCCTACTGATTCCTGCATACCAAACACTCCCATACTGGCTTGAAGTTGAGAGTAAAATTCTAAAAGTTGCTCTAGACTAATGTTCAAAATTTAGAATTCCTAATTAGGACAACTTTTGTTTTTTTTTTTTTTGTTTTTTTCATTTTAATCATTCAGTCATGGATAACAATTACATGTTCTTCAAGCACAACCTGCTGATTCATATCACAGTTAATGCAGAGCAATTTGACCACTTGACCACTTTTGGTGGCTTAACTTTGAGCACTGGATTGCTCTCAAAGAAATTTGCTGGCCGAAGCTCAAATCCACTGCTCAGTGTTGGCATCAGGGGAAAATCCTCTTGGTAAGGAACATGGTGAAAACCCACCGTGTACCACAGCACAATATCTTTGTTTTCTATGTCCCTGTCCCTGCATAATATTTCACATATAGATCTTAAGAAAAAACAACCTTTTAGGCGCTGCGTCAACTTTTAGCTACCGTTAGTTAACCAATCGATTTCTTCTTTTCATCAGGAAGTTTTAGAGTAAAAACTGCTTAACATAATTAGATCTATGAGTGTCCATGTTAACAATTTGCAGCACAGAATACAGAATTCTTCCCGCTTATAGATCTAATCCGTTGAAAAATTAATTCGACAACTAATACAGCAGTGCCTACTGGTAGTTGAGAATGACAGTTCTTGCTCTTGATGTCCTTTTTTTTCTTTAGCCAAAAATGAATGGAAAATCAATTATAAATGCAGGCAAATACAATGTGATACCTCTTGCTCCATGTAGCTAAGGTGTCATCCCCATGGCTTTGATCAACGTACTTTCCTCCAGCCCATTTTTCAGACTTGTTATATGGAGTGACCCAAACGTTATACTTGGTGAAAGCTCCCCTGATCTGCGGGAAATCATCGTCCGATAAGAGTGGGCCTGCCAAGGATCCGGGGATCAAACGGTAGCCAACATTGTTGCCCATTTTAGTCCTCTTGTTGGGGTTCACAACTAGCAGCTCAGCCGCACCAGAGCCAAGATTAAGCATGGCCTCAGACTCGGTTTTCGCCGTCTCGCTAACGACCTTCCAATAACTCTTCCTAGGCGATCCGCGGTCGGCCACTCCTGTCGTCTCAAATTTCGACTTAACAAAGGAGTTGGCTTCCCCGTCCACGTCAAGATCAAGGTGATATGTAAGAAAATGGTCATGGTATACACCTATTGTGTTTTCTGCCAATAGCGTACCAAAAACTTCCTCTTGTATTTGGTCCTTGTGAGTGTACTTTGTTGCTCTTACGCCTAGCATGCCAGTTAGCCCAACCTACAATTTTTAATGACAAAGGACTCATTTAGTTCGCTGATTCGATTTTTTAATTCAAGTTGAGATGTAATTTTATATGAGAGTTTTTTTACTATATGTAACTGTTTCTGAAAATTTTTTATTGTAGCAAAACTCGAATCGGTGAAATGAATAGAATTTTAGTCTTAAAAAAATGGCTTTAAATCAATGTACTTAACAGAGTTCAGTTCAAAGTATCCATAATTACCGTAGCTAGAATTGACCCACTTTGCTTGAATTCCCAATCAACAATGTAGTCATAGTTAAGCACTGTCGCCACCATTCTAACCACTAGGCTCACCTCTGGCCTGACCTCTCTTATCTGCAAATATTCACCCTCAAAAATAATTTTACTAATATATATACACACACCATGGAGCTATGTACTAGCTAGCTCTGCAAGAGATAATTGGCCTTACAAAAGTGGTTCTTAAATCTTTCTAACTCAAAAAATACTTAAGAGCATCACTAGTATTGAGCATCTCAATTAATTAATTGAGGGCGTTCCTTAACTCTAAGTGGACGTTTGGTTTATAGATTCAGAACTATTCTCAATTTACGTGTCTTTTCCGAACTATGACACGAATCTTTTACTCCAAACGCCACATAAGTGTTGAATATCACTATTATCGCTTAGCATTATTCTTTTATATTAATTGGCCACTGATAGTGTTAAACACTACACAATAATAAAAATTAGATCTCGCGTCCTATAAGTAAGGCACACTTTTCTTTTAGTTTTGATAGTACACCGATGTTAGACACCTCAAACATTTTCCTCGTGATTGATTAGGAAAGATCACCTACCAATTTGTTTGGGATCTGATTCTCCGTGTGACGCCACATGATATCTCCAGCATATTTCTCAAAGATGCAGAAAGTGTTGGGCATTTTGATGGGTCTCCCATTTGGCGAAGCAACAAACACGTCCATGAAAACAGCATTTTGTGGACAGTCTCTGAGTGGCTCCAGTGGCAATGCACTTAGGCCAAAACCATATTCTCCAGCATCTAAGAATGTCCTGTAGTACCATTCCTCATCTAGATCCATATACGGTACAAAGAGCTCTGATATGTAACCTCTATATAATATGCGATGAAATTTCTTCATATTTGTGTCGTAGATTGATGCCAAGGATATAACTGGACCTGCTCGCGTATCAAAACTTAAATGGAAATCCCAGTTTTACTCGATCTCACTTTAATTTTTGACTTTTAAAATATAAATAATGTTTAGATAGTAACATTATTTTTTATTTTTTATTTTCATTTTCTCCTCTCTCAAGCAGAGAGACATTAATGGTTTTTTTTATGTAGATCTCTCGATAAAACTACTAAACGCATTTTTAAAAATGATTTCTATCTGAGATTAAAAACTTTTTCATTTATATTTTCATACAAAAAAATCATTTTAGAACGAGTTTCAAACGCACCCAATAACTCTTAAACTTTTTTCTAAAACTATTTTCTCTTAAAATAGAGGGTTTATATAATTAGTGTGGTTTGAACCTTAAACCATGTTTGTTTGAAAAGTGTGGTTAAAAAGTTAGGTTCAAACCATGAAAACTTAGAAGATATTGGTTTAGAAATCTTTATTTTTGATGGTTTAAATTTCATATTAAGGATTCAAATCACTTTTTACTTCTTGTTAACCAAAATTTTAAATTCAAACTACTTGAATCCTCCAACCAAACAAACCCGCGTAGGAGTTGCAGCAAAAAGAATGTAACCCAAGCATTAAAAGTCCTTTTATACTAGTAGTTCAAGATGAGGGATGGAAGCTTTTTCCACCCATTCCGCTAGAGGATTAGCCCATCCCATTTACAAGGATGTGTCTTTCAGTTATATTCATGTTTGTTCTCTGATAAAGAAAAATACACAAAAAATAAATAATAAATAAAAAACGACATAAGAATAACCATCGGAAAACGACAAAAATGAAAACAATGATAAGAAAACGACACTGCACAGAAAAACGACAACTACATTAAAAGTGACACCTAAATTCAAAGCGACAACCATATTGAAGAAGACGACATCGGAAAACAACAGAACCCGAAAAAGTGACTCAACAGTTGAAAACGGGACGTAACAAAAAAAAATCAACTAGAAACAACAATAATTCAACGAATGGTGGTTAAGATAGCTTGGTCTAGTGGCATCGGAAGGTTTGAGAGAGATTGCGGATTTAATCATATATTTTATATAAAAAAATAACCAACATTGAGTTGACAACGTCAACCTCTAAGTGACAATATACTCTTAATAGTTCTATATAAGCGTGTGTGACTTATTTAAAATAACAGTTTTATAAATTGTTTAAAGAAGAGAGACAGAAGGAAAAAAAAAAGGGACATAAAACAAACAAGGATAAAAACAGAAAAAGAACTAAAGCAAAACATAGGAAAAAAGATCTTAACTTATTTTGTTGTGTTTTAAATTAGTTCTCTTTAGTTTTGTTTAATTTGTTTTTTATTTAATTTAGTGTGATTTTATTATATTTTAGTGTATTTTTGCTTAACTATATTTTTAATTGAATATTTATAGTATTTTTATCTGAGTAGTATTAAAAATTTAGTGTAAAACGGTATTAAAATTGACAAAATCAAACCACAAATCAATTCAAAATAAATATAAATAATAATAACTAATAATAACTAAAAAAATAAAATTAGAAATTACTTCGGCCGTAGAATCGAGATGATGGACGGCCAAGATATGCGCATGAAAAGCACGCTCAGGCAGCAGCTCGTCCGACTCAGGGTGAGGTAGCTTTCCGTGTCAGTGAGTCATGCCACTTTGTCGTGTGAGCCAATCAGCACGCAACACGTGGCCCTGATGTTGGCCACCTTTTGCATGAGACCAGCTGTAGCGTGCTCCATGTGAGCTCTTTTTGTCAGCCAATAGCACGTTGACACGTGTCCATTAATTGAGCAAACTAACAAAACGCCATCACGTGGATCCTACTAAAGTGGCGATTTCAATGAAAATTACCGCACCAAATTCCTTTCACTTGTAGCAAAAAAAAAAAATCCCCAAAAACCTATTCAACTTTAGATATATA